TTGATGGGGGGGGGGAAAGATTAAAAAAAAAAAACTTTGTCCGACCTACCGGCCCTATGCTGAAATTTCATGTTACCGGAAACACACTATCTTTTTTGTTTGGCCTAATAATATTCATAATAATAATAATAATAATAGGATGTCACAGTAGCTTACTGGTTAGCACATCTGCCTCAACAGTGTATAGGTTGAGGGCTCGAATCTGGGCTCAGGCCTTCCTGTCAGGTCTGTTCGTTTTACCAATTATCGACCAATTCTGAAGTGTTTTGGGGGTTTTCTGAAAAGTGATGACTTTGGGGATGCAACCGACGATGATCAGTCGCCACTGACTCAGCATACAGGGCACTCTTTCTCTTTCGGCTGAGATCATTGCCAAGGTTGTGTGAGTCTAGTTTATTTATTTATTATTATGATTATGTTTTTTGCTGTGTAATTCCAGCAAAAATAAGCACGCTAATTATGTAGAACATAACATCTTCATGAAAATAGTCAATAATGTTTCCCAAGAAAAGTCAATGTCTTCCCTGCGTTTTGTGATGTGTGTTTTGCTCTCCGCATGAAGTTTCAAAGTCTGTGCTATCTTCAAAGGTCTCACCTGGAAATTATTGCTGAGTGTGAAATTGAAGCTTTGGTTCCATTCTGGGTTTTTGTCATTTTCCACAGTAGTTGTCTTGAAAACAATTGCAGGTGGGAGAGTCAGCGTAACATAGCAATCAGACTCTGACCCTGAAATATGAATGAAAAAAAATACTGAGATTAGGACAAAATATGACAAAAACAACCACTTCTGTTCAGATTCAAATCATATTTTCACATACCAAAGTCTTTTGAGCGAATGTTTTCTGCCTTCAGTATGGTGACAGTCAACGTCCGGGAAGAGACAGCCTTGTGTACAATCATGCAAAAAGAAAAAAAATTGCGAGAGGGGTTGGGGGTTCATCTAAGTACAGTAATTAAGAAAATAACTTCTTGAAGACATTTGGATATAATTTTTTTTTTCAGAATATTTGCAATTAAATGCTTTGAAGTGCACAGTTAGCACGGTACATTGCAATAAACTCATGTAAATATTGCTGGAATGGCATAAGTAGTATTCAAAATTGTACTGAAACAGTCATGCAAAGTATAGTCACACTGCAGTACAGCTCAACATGATGTAACACTGCATTTTAGAAAACTAAATCTCTCACAAGATTATTTTCGATGAGCTACTATACAGGAGGGATGGGCAATTCCAGTCCTGGAGGTGACCTATCATGTATGTTTAAATGTTTCCTTCTTCCTACACACCGGATTCATATAATCAGGGTTGTTATCAGGTGCCTGCGGAGCTTGCTGGTGAGCTGATCATTTGAATCAGGTGTGTTTGTTGTCGGAGGATACATTAAAAAAAAAAAATGTAGGCGAGTGGCCCTCACGGACAGTTAACCATCCCAGCTCTACACTGTTAAACAGATCAATCACCGTTCTCTTACACACACGCACACACGCACACACGCACGCACGCACGCACACACACACACACACACACACACTCACACACACACACACAACCACACACACAC